GGCAAAGAGAACAATTCTTCGAATCTGGTGCTACAAAATAAAGAACTTTACCAAATGGCAGGAACTAAATTGCACGAGGAGTACCAACAGCAGCAACAACTAAAATGGTTATCTCACGTAGCAAGAAGAGGAAAGAACAGTATGAACAAGATGTTAACATTGTACATTCCTCCAAATAAATGGTTAGTAAAAAAAAAAGAATCACCATCAATACAGGAAAGAGCTATAACTGATACCAGTCTTGAGAAATCTGTTTTCTTGAAAAATATATTTAACAGAAAGATCTTATTATACATTTCAACCTAAAGCAGAAGTGTCTGTTCGATCAATGAGGGGTAACAGTTTCCTTGTAAGGAAAATGGTTAGTATTACCATTACCATTATTATTAATGCTTTACGTATGGGCGCGTGGCCGAGTGGTTAGAACGTCCGATCATGAGACCCCGGGTTCGAATCTCACCACGGTCTATTTGTCAGGAAGGAGACTTAAGTGCCTGAAAACCATACGACGGGCGAATGTATTGTGAGCGAAATTGTGTAGATGGAATAGTTGGTGCCGTCGATACCTGTGTTAGCACGAAGTCACAAGTCATCGTGATCGAGGGTTTGAGTGTGCTAATGTTGTTCAAATTTTTGATCATTCTAGATAACACGCTCCTTCTCGCAAACTGTAGCTAAGGTTTGCTCAGCGTAGCTGCAGAATAAACCACAAGTTGGCTCTGTGGGTGTTGAACAAAGACAAATGTGCCTGACCGAGATTCTGCAATAGGGATTGGCTAGTCACCCTAGTAAACGTGTATCCGCGAATAAGAGTGACCAGCTATTATTATATTATCTAGTTTTACGTAACCTGTTCGTAATTTTAGAAAAATCCATTGTTTCAGAGACCATATTAAATAAGGATGGCAGCAGTAATACTAGTAGTAACTAGCAGCATGACCCGGCGTTGCCCGGGCTTGATTCAAAAATTGTACAACTCATACAGCAATTGCTATCACTTGACTGAAAATATTTTTGTCCTTCCTTGCCTTTAAAAGAGTCCCCTTTGCCGTGCTGATGTTGCTACTTGCCTTACTTCTTGCCTATCTCATACTGCGAATTTTTTCTAATCTCTATACTAAACATTAAATCTGTTACGAAAAAAGAACTAAACAAAATGAGCACAAAACGACCAGCTTTAAAAAAGGACTCGTAACTGGAAACACCGAATGAAAAAAGTATGTTAACAACAAATACTTTTTCTCACCCAACCCAGTTCTGCGGAATCAGAATCAACGTTGAGTTTAAGCAAGCGAATGAGCCAATTGGAGTAAAGTCGCATGCAGATTTAAATTTTTCCCACTGGTGACAAAAGCAGCTATCGATTTTTTGGCATGCTAGCATGCTAGTTAAAATTCGTGTCAGTCAGCTGTTGGATCACACGCTGGCCAATAGAATCTTCCTGCCTATTCGTGGCAGCCAGCTATAGGCTCTCACTCTGGCCAGTAGAAAATGACTGCAAACTACATGGAAACTGACGTAGAAGCATGAAAAAATCGATTATTTCCACTATCGATGGGAGTTGGGAAATGCAAAGTTGGTCTTGGCCTCCTCCGCTAACTTGGAGCATGTGCATGTAAATTTTGGTGAAAATCCGTCGAAAATTGCGGCCGTGCATTCGTTACACACACACACACACCCTGCCTTTTATAGATAGAGATTTAAATGACTAATTCTACACCTAAAGGCGCCTCAACTACGAGTTTTAGTCAACGAGCTAGTCTTTTTGGCGATTACTACTGAATAGTAATTTTGATCTTTCCTGATTACACCTTACATGTGAACCTGTCATAAACTAAATTAACTTTAACTAATAACCGCATTTTCGTACACCAGTTTGAGGTAATTTTTATCGAGCTAGTTTTCGTGACGATAACTAATAGGAAACGGTTTCGATTCTCCCTTGGAGTAAGTTACTAGTAGACTTGTTCCATTCTATGTGAAACCTCAAGGAAAATTTAAAAGAAAACAGTAAAAATGCACCCCAGAAGCTAAATAAAAAAAAAATAAGAAGTAATATCTACATTATTTATATTCGGACTATTTTCTTTATTTTTGTTGTTTCTAGCACAACTTCCGCCAGTGTATATCGATCTCGCTAAACTACAACTGAACCCTTTATTTAATTTTCGGAGGCAGACTGTTCTCGTTCCACTGGCTATGTCTAGAAATTAATAGTCTAGTTTTTATTTTTTATTTCTGTTCAGTTAGTGCTCTCCTCGTTTCCAACGAATCCAAGTAACACTACCCGGCCCAGGGATTCAACTCACAATCACTATGTAACCAAATTCACGAACCAAGACTTTTCCGTGGTGAACTTGGAGTCTTAAACCTAACCTTCCGGCTGATCAGTGCCGCTTTTGCTGCCTGTCAAGTATTGACTGCTGCTTTTAAGGGAAACTTTTTATTAGAAACAAAGATTAGAGTACTGTTAAGCTGCACAGTTTTTCGTATACGACAA